TACTAGCAAGTTACAAAAACAAAATTACCACAAGCTACGATGATCTGAATTGTAAATCAACAAATATCGTCTACGGATTAGACTGTAACCTTTGCGGATTGGTATATGACGGTGAAACGAAAAGAAGGCGTAATAAATGTATGTGCGGCCATATATCAGACATAAACAACAATGCTAGCGACATTGTTTACCAGAATTTTAATCAGCCTGATCATTCAATTCTTTCTATGCAATATAAAAATAAGAACCTGTGGTATAATTGCTAATGAGACAACTCTCCACAAGAGACCAAATGATATAGAAGTTAACAGCTATAGGTCACCGTACGGTCTTCAACACTGAGCAAAACCCATACCGTATAGTCGGCTATAAAAGACCCCGGAATGACAAATGTAAAACAAATAAAACGAGAGAAACAACGACCTGATGTATGTACAAAATAATGAACGAAAAACAAACAAACATTCAAGTTCACATCATCGAACAAAAGAAAAGTTGTCACAGGAATAACAACCATCATTTTGCAACAGCTCTCCGTAGACAAAAGGAAGACTTTTGGATTCGAGAATTGGGAAATGCGATAACATATGGTTGCAATGACAACATTGATGGTATATGTATACTATCTAGTCCTTCCGGTAGCTCGGCGGATTTCATGAACATTTTAAACTCTTCTCCTCGACGTAGACGAAGTCATGGTCATCGTCATTATACACCACCTAGTCAATGATGTCTCCATTAATGACCTGCTGGTATTTACACAGAACCCATTGGGCATTCATCACATACGAACGAAGCTTTATTCACTACCCCGTTCAAAACGTCATTCTCTGATCGACTTTTGCTTGGAAACCACAGTTACAAACCTCCATTCAAACCAATACAAACATACAGCTATCTTCTCGAATATTGTCAGTCACAGAATTTTCAAACCAGTTCGCATTGGAAAAAGTGAAAAAGATCATAAAGGAGTCGCATTATTCGCATTAACAAAAACCTCGCAATAATTTCTTGATTTACAGTATGAGTTTGACTGTCCCTTTGTTATCTTTCGCCTTTCCTTGACAACTAATTAGATTTCTTCAAAGTTCTTACCGCAAAATTACAATTTTTATGTAGCATTATTTCAGCATCACCTGCATATGGATTTTGTTATGCAATATGCAATAGTTTTGGTTCACTATCTGGGTTTTCTTGATAAAGGGTTACAGATTACAAAAACAATGTATTGCACCAAGTGTTTTAATGGTAAAGTTGGAGTCATCTCTACAAAGTGTTGAAGACGCTCTCATGCTTTGGCTGACCATAATGGAATATCTTTGTCATAAACGACCACGGATATGTTCGTTTGTCAAAGCTAAAATTATGTCCTTTCCTCGTTGATTACATATCCGAATGTTGCTTACAACATGATTTTTACTAAATTTTTTTAGATTATTCATGTTTTAAAAAACAAGGAACTTGTATCTATGATGACCATTTTATAGTAAAAGCACTATTTAATGAGAAGGTGTAGTCGATCTGTCAATTGAGCATGCGTGGAGAACGGAAGTGTAAAACGTAGAAAAATCTAAAAAGTTGATGTAATAGCAAAATTGTAAAGATTGTGATTGCAAATTTTGTATTAAAACTTTAGAATGTTTATGAACCCGCATTTATTTGATTGACACATTTCAATATACCTCATCACATTATATCTGAAAGCCATATTTTAATATAGAAAGAATGGTAGTAAGAAGGTATCTTTAATGCGCCCCTGAATACATTACCAAATAGCTTTACCCAATTCTGATAACGTGTCTTGGTTTTGGTTCCTCTGGATTCCGCTTAACCTGTTTTATGGTACAGTCCTCATGATCAACTGCATATCATAGTAACGTGAAATTATTATTTAATAAAATAAATGTTCATGTTCTTAAACACCAAGCACGTGGCTTAATTACTCTGATTGGTTCCTCACAATCGTTCAATCGTTCCTTTTTAAAATTTGATCTTTTGACACTAAAGATCTCAATATTTCCGTCAAGATACATTAATAATAGTTCAGATATAACAATATAGACCACCGTCAGGTTGGTTTTATTAATTTATCCATTTTTAATGAAAATGTAAATTTGTCAGTGTATTGATTTTCCCCTATCAGCAATTCATATGTTTCTTACCTTTAGTGTTAATTAAAAAAATAAGATGTGTACCATTATAAGCTGAATGTTGATAAGCTTCGTGTGTTGCTTTCATACGGAGCCCCTTAAGTGCCATCTAATATAGATATTTTCGTTTGTCGGAATTTTAATCCGGCGCGCACGAGTTTAAAAGTCATACACACTAGTTTCAAAGTCGTATGCACGATTTTTCAAACTGGTTCGCACCAGATTATTTCTCCGGCATACGAAAATATTTATATTTACATGGCACTAAAGGGGCTCCGTAGTTTAATCATGTCAGATATTAACAAATAATTTCTTTAGTATATAGTCTATATAATGGAGTAGTAAGATTTCAAGTCAAACTAATAATAAATCAACACGACCTTATATTTTAGCAGCCATGTACATTTGTCGAACCATCTTTTCACAGACATGCTGTCTGAGGAACATATATATTATATCGGTACGATATATTTTATAGTAATTTAAAACGTGATCTTACTTAGATAAAATTTTCTTCACGTCTAAAAGTTGAATTGCTTACTAGCATGTACTAGTTTTGGTTATTGATTATTACACATTTTCTACATTAGGAAATGCCTGTACTGAGTCAGGAATATGACAGTTGTTTCCCATTCGTTTGACGTATTTGAGCGTTTGATTATGCCATTTTATGAAGGACATTTTGTTTTGAATTTCCCTTTGAGGTCGAAATTTTTGTTATTTTATTTTTTACACAAAGTTAATAAATATTTTTGATTATAGGAATAGGAAAATAATACAACTTTACAAATCTGACGTCTACAATTTAAGCGGAAAAAGTAATAAAAATCCACAAGTCAGACCCAAAAGCGTCAAAACGTGAGTTCAAACTTTAGCTTTAGCACAATTACATGTTTCATGAACTAGTGTTTTACATACAAAATGTATCTATTTGCTACTGCAATGACCGAAACATTTATCGATTATCAGCATTTACGTTACAAAAAGAAATTGATTTATTGAAACACAATTAACCAAAACTTTGAAAATGTGTGTGTGTGTGTGTGTGTGTGTGTGTGTGTGTGTGTGTGTGTGTGTTAATGCGTGTGTGTACGTGTGTGTGTGTCGTGCGTGATGTTACTATATTTTTATTTAGATTTTACCGAATATCTGCAAAACAATTTCAAGATTTAAACAACGGTTGATAAATCGTACAAATAACATCAATTGACATACTCTTAAATTGAATGCATTCAGGAAATAATACTGTAGAGCAACTACTTTCATAAAAACTGATGGAGCATGATCAATCTCATTACACTCATTAGACTAAAAATCGTGATATTAGGACATACTTCGGAATTTTTTTCCAAAGGGAATGGTGTTATGTATTTTGACTAGAGTAGTATTTGAATTGGCGGCCTACACATGGGAATATCTGATTATTTAGTTTTAACTCAATCTGAAGTAATGACAGTACAAATAAGGATTTATGATTGGAATTCAAATAATGGAAAAGCTATCATAATTTGAAAAAAATATGAACAAATAAAATCACAGGTAACAAATTGCTACTTTGTTATCTTTGGTTTCCCGGATTTGCATTGACTAACCATGATTCTAAGGTAGGTTGAAATTTATAAACCAAATTTCTATGGTTCCTAAAAGGAATGATAAAAATTCATTTAAGACATTACTAGAATTGATAGCAAGATCTTATCCCATGTTTTTTTTGGGACAAAAAATACCGATAGCCAATCGACCAGTTTTGGAATTTTATAACTACTTTTAGGAATGTAAATTCATGATTTTTTTAAAAGACTAGCCGCAAGAAGTACGTACTCAATAGACAACGTTGTCTCAAATTACTATTATTCATGTTCGAATTTGCTCTGAACAACTACTGATGTTCATCTTTTAAGACGAGGCCGAAGTGTTTTTGCATCTATATATTTAATAAGATTTGGTATTCTATCTATCCATATTATTAAACTCTTTCTTTAGTGAGTGGTATAAAGTGATGATGGGGTCCTACGTTCGTCTCTCCGGTCATTCACTTGTCATACTATTGTTTCCGAAACTGCTCCTGAACCGCTTGACAGAATTTTACGAAACGTTACAGAATTTTGAACAAATGGCGTTCTTTTGCACCTCATATAATATTTCGTCTTTTAAAATTGTATATTGGTAGACTCGGCATCACAGAGACTTTGACATATCTGTACACTATAGAATAGATTGTAACAGTCCGCAGGAAGACATGCTACCCTAACTGGACATATTATTCTGTCTCCGGACTGACAAATCGTTGCTCTTACTCCTAAATATTGCTTGCTTAGCACAGAGTCAGCCAATCTTTGATTAGGACGGGGCGAGGGTCGCACCCAAATCATCTAGCACTCGAGGCGTGCCTGTTTCCACAAGATCACCCAGGCGGTTATGAATATTAAAGATACACAAACATGAACATGCTTATTCAAATTATGCAAAACAATAATTTGTGGCCATAAGACACCGTGCCCCCTCACATTATCAAATTTCCATGTTCAGTAAATCACTTAACACGGGTCAAACCCTAATTTGGTATATATTTTTAAATTTGGAATGGGACGGATGAATGGACCGAAGCACAGACCAGAAAACATTATATCCCCTTGGTATCATTAGTTGGTCATAAACTAAAAGAATCCTACTTAACAAAATGTTATCAAATATTCCATAGATCTCCGTTTCTTGAGACGTAATATGTATAAGTTAAACGCCAAACATTTCATAAATATATGTGTAAGCGATGACTTTAAATTAAACATACATACTCTTCCTTGAATCCATGCATCATTATAATAATCATAAAAAAAACCAATTAATAAAATGACTGATTTAGTCAAGTGTAATCATTTTTTTTCCTAAAGATGTGTCCACATCAATTCCATTTGATAAAATTCTACAGAAAGATGAACAAGTTCTATCAGATAGATGCATCAGTGATCTGAATTTCTGCCTCTGACAAAAGGATCTTGAAATAAATTATAGAAATATGTTTAAAAAAGTCGTATGCACCTTTTACAACCTAGTGTGTTTAAAACTATTTATATGTGTCAAATATAATGACTAAGTAATACTCGGCGCATTTGATTACCGGTAACTAAATTAATTATTTCCTTAAAAGATTGTTGTCAATAAAGTCACCCAGAATTTAATGGATTTAAATTGAAGATTTGGATAAATTTTTAATAGCATCCATTCCAACAAAGTATGTGTATTCGACGAGCATAAAATTCATTTAGTCTATGCCCCTCCCTCCTTCAGGCTAAAATATGATAGGCTGAAATACGTTAGATAGGTTGGTTATGTCGAATAATGTAATTTTATTGGAAATCTCTGATATAATATGTATGACGTTCGTAAATAAAACTACAGTAAAAAGAGTCCATTTATGAAAGCATAGTTTGCAATTGTATAATTTATCATCATGACGATAATTAGGTATCACATAATTTATTTTTATTACAGGATACACAATTTGTTCGTGTTTGTATTGTACTATATAATCCATACTGACAGTTTGCCTGATTTGGATTATATCTATAACCAGTATGCTGCGACATGTGGTATTCAGTTTTGTAATGCAACCGGTTTTTCGCTGCCATATCATAATAGAGATTTAACATACATAAATTCTGTATGTCCACCTTGCTATTGTGATACATGTGTTTTTAACAAAAATTGCTGCCCAGACTTAGCATTACCCAAGTACAATGAAATTTGTACGAATGATGCTGTTTATAACCCGGAGAATCTACTCTCGGAATTTTACTTCGCAATGATCAACACATGTCCAAATGGTACCGATTAGAAACTCACTCAACTTTGTGAAAATGACACAAATCTTGCTACGGACCTTTCATTGGTTCCGGTTACAAGTATATCAAGGACAACCTATAGGAATATCCATTGTGCTCAGTGTCATAATGAAACAGATACAGAGTCATGGACAGTGGACATCAATTGTGAAAAATTTGCAGATTTCAATTTCTTATCAAGTTTTGAGGAAATAGCAGATATGGTTACAAAAAAGAGATGTACCGTTCGTTACGTTCAACAAAACGAAAACTACAAGGCTCGTACATGCCAACCAATAAACGAAAATCTGATTGGTCGCTGTAATATAACTGGTACCTGGCAAAAGTATGACTATAATATTGATTGGGCTTGCCATTTCCTTCAACTTCCGTTTGATATTTATAAAAGTGTGTTTTGCCTTTTGTGTAATCCTCCACTGAAAGATTCAAATTTCACCGTTATTTCATCTTGCATCCCCAGTGAAGAGAGACTATTTAAATCTCAATCTCTGGACGAAGCATGCCTGGTTTATAATACAACTGCCGTAACAGTCCCATTTAAAAATACATTTTGCTACTTTTGTAATAGACAAAATGATTTGCATCGATATGCTGAAATCAAGGGAAGTTTATCAGTATTTTTTGGTGAAACTAATGAGAAAATCAGATACAGAATAAGTAATGTCAATTTCAAGACTGATTTCTTAGGAAAATATCTAACAAGTTATATCAATAGATCAGGCATCGATGTCAATGAAGGAAAAAGAATAAGTACTTCGTTTGTGTATTTCGACAATGATCGTAAAGTCAATATGCCTAATTTGATGTCACTATACTCTCAAACATATGGTCCCGAACTTTGCGGAATTTACAATTCTAATCAAGAACAACTTACCGGTAACCAGTCATTACAGTGCTCGTGTATTGCAAATTGCTCGTTAAATCGTGATTGTTGCATTGATTATGAATTTGACCAGCGCTGGGGGTGTTCAGGAGGAAATGTTATATCGAGTATGTGTCGTTATGCCGATAAGGGGTTGAATACCTACTGCTATGAGCGGGGAGCGTTGATATATGATCTTCCAGTTAGCAAAAATGACACGAAAAATCATTTTAGTAATATATTTTGTGCAATTTGTGCAGACGATTCGGTTAACATCCACCCATTACATGCCATGACAGCTGCACAATTTTTTCAACCATGGGATATAGAAATAACTTGTTTAGTCAATACCGATTTATTTTCAACTCTTCGTAGCAACCATCTTAGCAGATGCTAATCAGAGAAACTGTGGTGTTATATATGAACCAAATCCAAACAAAGAAGTTCTTTGCGAAGACACGGTAAACACAATAAAATCGTGCAATGTTTCAGGTACATGGCCTGATTTTGATGAAGATGTAGTATGGGCCTGTGAGAAACTAAATACTACATATCTCAAAAGTTATAGAGGTTATAAGAATATATTATGTACACTTTGTAATCCTGATTTAGGATTCCAACCATCCACTACACCTATGCCAACTGAAGCAACAACCCCTTCTCCTCACGGAAATATAATCTGTTCAACATGTATCTACGTGGGAGGAGTTGTTACTACATTCAGGACGTTGATTCTTTTACCCACAGATACGGAAATGACAATTACCGACTGTAAAAGTGGCCAAGTATTAGATAAACTTAATGTAAATATAAGATTTGAATAATACGGAGATTCTTTTCAATATCGTAAATGAAACGGCACAAAATCACAACAAAAAATTTTTACTTAGCAAAGACAGAAATAAATAAAAATTCGAAAATTCCTTCGAAGATTCTTGCCATTGGACAGGAATGTCAAATATTTACAAATAAACCACTAAAGTGAGTACCCTAAATGAAACCACACTCATTTATTTTTTATAATCGAGTTATTCTAAGTGATATAAGACACAGGGAAACATGAAATTGTCCATTAAATCATTTTACAAAAAAAAAATAAACAACCCAAAAAAAAAACCACCCTCTCCGAAATATTACCTGTGAAGATTTAACAACAATAGCGTAACTATAATTCATGTCAAACAAAACAAAACATCATTCCTTTGATTACAAGAAGGTAGCTCTTTTTTGAAATTTTCAAACCCTTTAAAAAGATTAACTGACTTGCTGTAAATTGTATTGATAAGACCCAAAGTCTTGTGTCGTTATTGGTTAACACAATTTTAATATTGTCATGAAAATTGTTTTGACGAGTATTGTGTAAATAATTGTATAAAGTTCGAGATTGCATGTTAGTTACGTAAGCTAACGTAAGCGCGTCATTATTTGTGATATCCTGTGGTGTTTGTCGTTGTTCCGCGGTTTGCATGTTGTGTCGACTATTATACTATTTGTTTGTGCGTTTCTCTGTGATGAATGTTATTGCGTGTGTTTGTGCTGTCACTTAGTGTTGTCATTTTAGCGATATTTTTTAACATTGTCATAAAGCGGGAGGTTTGGCTAGCCATTAAACTAGGTTCAACCCAAAATTTTTTCTTAAAATGTCCTGTACCAAGTCAGGAATATGGCAGTTATTATCAAATAGTTCGTTTCTATATATGTTGGAATTTGTTTTTGTTCCACTTCAGTGTTCCTGTTGTTCCTTTGTTTTCCTCTTATAGTTGATGTGTTTCCCTCGGTTTTACTTTGTAACCCGGATTTGTTTTCCCTCAATCGATTTTCGACTTTTAAACACCGGTTTACTACTGTTGCCTTTATTTAAGTGAGTTTTTTTTGTTTTTTGTTTTAGAATTTTGCTTTTGTGATTTATCCATTTATCGACCAAAAAACCACCTTGTGAATTTAAACATTAGACAAAAATAAAAGATTTTTTGTAATCATTTAAATAAGTTGGTGTCCCTAATTTTTTGTTTACATACTTATATATAATGATTGATGCATACTCAAATATTCTTTTATTCATATTCATGCAAAAAATATATACCAATGTGTTGGTGTTAAATGTATATAGAAATAAGAAGATGTGGTATGAGTGCCAATGAGACAACTCTCCATCTATGTACTATTTCACACCTCCATATCATCATGTAAATTTACCAATATACATTTACACATACGTTCAGATACATAAATACGCACACCTACATATATCGACTTTTCGAAGAAATCAAAATATCAAAATCCGATTAAAAATAGATACATGAAAAATGAAATTTATGTCATGTTTTAGTATTGCGTAAATTCATAAATTTATTGTTGTTGATTTAGAGCTTCGTAAATTGTACTGAAATTATTGATCAAGACTCGGGGAAATTTAATACACGATAGTATATCACTGAAAATCGTAATATGCTGACCTCTATCTTTTCAATTGTGTTCTGGGTTGCTATATCAATGACGTGTATTCTAAATTTCTTTTTTTCATACAAAATATCAATTTTTTTAGTGCAACGTCGATACTGTATCTGTAAACATGACATCCGCAACAAAAGTGACGTCTTCAGTTTAAAAGTTTAATGCTTTTATTACACCATAGAAAACCGAAAGTTGTGCTCCTATTGATGCTGATATTTGAATTAACTTTCTCATTAGATGCTTAAGTCTGAATTTTAGGTATGAAAACAGGTGTGTTTGTTAGTACTCCTTTTTTTATTTCGGCAATAACCGGCAAGTCAATACATACATTGTCAACTATATCACTACGGTAAAATCTTAGCCCAAACATCTAGGTATTCAGCTTTAGATATCCTTAAATGAATTAATATTTTGAACAATAGTGGAAAGGGTATATATTTCATTACTTCTTCTTGTCGTGCATATGATTGCTTGACTTTTATATTCTATAATAACAAAGACAGAGACAAAAGAATGTAACAAACATGAGTGTAAACGCATTTTTATACATTTATTAATTAACAAACTTTAATCCTAAATGACTTAAAAGTGTATGCATTCGGTAGGTGTCATACGATTCCATGTCCAAAAATAACGTCAATGCAAATTATTTCTCTCTGCAAGAGCAATACACATTATTTATTTTTCAGAACAAATGTAAAAACGTTACTTGTTCGCCTGGATATGTCCTTGACAATGCTACTTGTACTCCACTGCTCCTGGTTACTAAACAACTGGGCTATATATTACCTATCAGAATAGAATGCATTATAAATCTCATGGCATATGATGAAATTTTAGAAAATATTGAAAATGAATTAAAAGACTTCATAAAGGATTACCTTACACTTGAAAAGAAACTAGATTTGGTTTCTTCGAACATGGTGACAAACATTTCATGTGACACAAACGAAACAGTAGGCGTAGAGATATTGGCAAATGTAGAATTCTTTTTTGATGAAAGTGTATTCAGAAAAGACATTGAAACAAAGCTTGTATATCTTAAAGAAGAAATAGTTAACATCTCAAATGATGCTTTACATATCAGTCTAAAAATAAATTTAGATCAGAAGGCAATGAATACAAAAGCAACGATAAACAACGCAGCACAGTTTACTGGGATGTGTTACTTGTCAAAAACAAACTCAAAAGAAGAACGGTCACAGAGATCATATATATTTAGTCACGTGTCTGAGCTCCTTTTATGTCAACAAGTAAACCTGGAAAAAGATGAAATAATTATAGATCCAACAGCTTCTTCATTCATAATTTTAAAGTCGACTAACATGAAAATACCACAAGGAAAGTTCAAACTCACAGCAAGTGGAGGAGCAAGAATATGCGTAGATACAGTGAAATTGCTTAAAAAACCAGAAGCAAACATTGATTACGTATTCAATACTGTAATGACCATTGCCTCTGTCATATCAATGACATGTCTATTTCTGACCTTTGTCACTTATTGTATATTTCCAAATTTAAGATCCATTCCGGGTAAAAATAACATATCACTCGTATTTTCATTATTCTTTTTCCAAGCAGTTTTAACTTTCGGAGCAAACAAAACTGACCATGCTGTTTTCTGTTAAGTAATTGGCATAATTCTTCATTTCTTCATTTAAAGTTATTTCGCCTGTTTAAGCGTGTGTACTTTTCATATGTTCAATGCATTTAGTACCAACACTCCACATGACGCACACCACGAGAAACGAACTTTGTTTCTATATTGTTTATATTCTTATGGTACACCAGCTGCTATAATACTCATAAACATTACTGTTACATTATCACAGTCTAACGACATTGGATATGGAAAAAGGGAGACTATTTGCTTCCTCAAACATTCAACTTCAGGTATAGTATGTCTGATAATTCCTTTGACAGTAATTTGTGGATGCAACATAATATTTTTTCTCATGACAATGCGTAAAATAAGCTTGACACCAAAAATGGAAAGATCAAGCACAAACAAAGCAACCCGTCAAAATAGTGTTATATACATCAAGCTATTTAGTTTGACTGGTATAACCTGGGTTTTCGAATTTATTGATGCTTTTCTGCCAAAGACGCACTTATCTTTAATAATATGGTTATTCAACGCGTTACAAGGTGTTTTCATATTTCTATCATATATATGTAACTCACGTGTTGCTAACATGTACAGGAAGCTCTGTCTTCGTTACACAGAAGATCTGGAATCAAATGCTACAAAGTGTATTAACATTTCAACTGAAAAACATTTGAAATATCTACCTAATTCTGGTTCTCCCTTGGAAAATACCGTGCTGTAAAGGATAATTATCTGAGGAAGAGCTCCCTTTTTAACACATTTTAATTAAGACTTTCGTACATTGATTATTTTTAAAAGGAAAAAGGTTTGAAATGTATACACGAAGCCTTGTTTTGATCTTGAACTAATGAATTAGTATGATACTTCCGATCGTCTATTTATATTATACGAAACAAATAAACGACAGAATAGTTATAGCTTTAGTACTCCCATACGAATTTAATTTAATTGAATGCTTCTTTAGGTAATTTTATTGGACTGTAAAAGCGTTGACGGAAGCACATTTTGTATGAAGCGTGGTAGCAGTAGCGCTTCATTCTATAAATGTGCACACGATCAACGCTTTTACAACCATATAAAATTACAAAAAGAATCTTTCAATTCGTACATTTTTATGCTATAACCATAGAATTACGAGTTAAATCAGATTTTAGTTTTAATTTCCATGCATTTTCAAAAAAGTAACTTAATTCTGGGTCTGTCTAGGAAAATGCTGTGCTATAAGGAATACTTGATTGGCCGAGAACAGCTCCCTTTGCATTATTTTAATAACGACCTTTCAGTATCTTGATGATATTAACAAAAGAATAAAGTTCTTGCTTTACAATGTAAACACGAAGACTAGTGTTGATCTACATACACATTAAAAGTCAGTAGCAACAAGAACAAACTATGTTACACAGAAAAATTAAAATTATAATTATAGATAATCGTTGGTAATCTCAACGAGATTGATTTTCTCGCTTGAGCCGGTAAGGCGAAAGTGAGAAAAGCAAGCGAGTTGAGATAACCAATGATAATCTGTTTATCGCTATTTTACCTATGACGACGTTGTTAATTTCATTGACAACGGCACGTGCGCCCTTAGTTTCTAGCGATAATTTTTCATATCACTCTACTATGCTGAGAAAGGAAATTATCAGTTAGTAAGATCAAAGGAAAATTTCGTAAAATAGCGATAAATATACTTATTCATTTGACCTGCGAAGTTGCTATTTTTTTTAATTTGTAATCAGTATTCTGCGTATAAAAATACTTTCTAATAGTTCGCTCTTTTCAACTCTTGGTGAAAGAGCGCTGTAGAATAATATGAACCCTTGTAACATCTCGGATTGGTTACAAACGTTAAAGTTACGTACATTTGTTGTAAAATAAAGATACGTTGGTGTCTATAGAAAAAGTACGAAAGAAAACAATAAACGAATAAAATGTTTGGTTGTATCTGCAGTGTTTATCAAATTACAAATGACCAGTTTTGGATAATGCTTGATAACATTTTTTAATGGCGACATTAATTATTTAAATTGAGTGTCCGTATAGTAGTAGTCTAACAATTAAACTTACAAGTAAATGGATATCGAATGTTCAAAGGTGACACATGTATATTACAACGGAGAACACAGAAATTATTTTGCTGAAAAATCAGTCATTTATCTAGCCGTACAGGTCAGAGTCACCCGTCCCTAATTGAGGAATTTTCCTTTCGTTGAATAACGTTTTTTTTCTTTCTTAATTGTGTATGCTAAACGTCTATACATGACTCATCAGTGGTGATCAAATCAGTTGGAAGCCCAACTCAAATACGTAGTAGCAAAGACGGTTGCCATCATTTTTCGGAAAACTTTTGGGTGATACATATGACCGGTGTGAGCAAAGTAGGTATTTCTATTTTTATATGATTCTGATGTTATATATCCTTATTTCTATTATTAATATTGTCATTAACATTATACATGGATCTTTTAAGTTTGTTGTAAATATTTGTTACATGCGAGTTAAACGATTAAAATATATATATGTTGGGATTTTATGGTATGGATCAAATCAAGTAGAATGCAATTTTAGACAGTTTTATCATGATATATACTCAACCCAAAATCTTTTAGGTTAGTATATATTAACATGTGTGAAAAAACACAAAGTCTTGCTTGTGCACATGTATTCGTTAGTATGAAAATAGGCATCACAAAAAGTAAATGAGAGGCTAAAAATACCAAAATGGATATTCAAACTCATAAGTCGAAAACAAACTGACAATGCCATGGTAAGAAACGAAAGACGACGAAAAGAAAAACAACAGTACACAAAACACAATAGAACCCTAAAGACTGAGCAACATGAACCACACCCCCAAAAAATAGGGGTGATCGCAGGTGATTCTGAAGGTTAAGCAGATCCTGCTCCACATATGGCACCCGTCGTGATGATCATGTAAGTACAGCCCGGTGATAACATACCATCGCAAAACACAGACTCTATCATTTTTGTTAAATCTAGAATATGCAACAGAGGCCCTTCTAGCTACATGCGGATTACATATTCGATAATCCGAAGATTTTAGAATATTGAATGAGTTACTTAGTCTTTATTAAGTTTAAAGGTTTTTATATAAACTGTTGACATATGCTTGATTTTTCATATTTGACCTGAAATCAGAAGGTGTCGTATCACATTTGATGAAAATTTATAAATTTCATCAGTCAGTATCATAGTGACAAGGTGGTAAATAACCACGAAGGTCTGCAATACACACACACTGGGTAATACCACGGGCTCCTTATATATTTGGCTGTCACAGGTTAGTTAAAAAAGTTGTAATAGTATACATGTACGTATATTATGTTTTACTTTACTGTATATACTATCAACTACAAAACGTTTTTGTTTGCGTCTTTGTAAGATTTATTTGTATGTTAGTTTGAATTTTTAAGTCAGTTGTGTTATATGTTTGTAATGTATGTTTACACAGTTTTGGATGCTGGATTCCAATTATTGTCACGTTAATCAATTGTGTTCATTTGGGTTGCTCACCCAATTTTGTCAACATAACGGAACAATAAACAACTGTCATACAAATGGGAGGTTAAGTTTGCTATACGACCAGGTTTAACCCACCATTTTCTTCAGAAAATACTTGTACCAAGTCAGGAATATGACAGTTGTTTTCCATTCTTTCCGTTGGTTGATGTAGTTGAGTTTTTGATTTTGTCATGTTTTAAGGACTTCCCCCTTTTTGAATTTACCTTGGAATTCTGTATTTTTGCTAATACTTTTTTTACAAGTATTTATATATACTTTTCTACTTATGTCTCATTTATAGTTATCACCAAGCTAGTTGAATGGTAGACGTTTAATTTACTTGGAAATAAGGAAGAAATTACGTCATGGACAACAACAACAAAAAAAGCAAGAGTGCACACGCTGAAATGTCTCTCCTGCTTTATTGACCATTGATTTTATGTTGTTAGTCCTAAATATAAAGTTTTACTACAAGTATCACATTAACTTAACATGATCCAAGAAAATGAGGTCAAGGTCAGATAAACCAAACCAGAAATATATGTGCACCTTACAATCATTCCATACACTGAATATAGTTGACCCATTGATTATAGTATACAAGAAACAGACCAAACCATGAAAACTTTATATTGACCAATGAACCATGAAAATAAGGTCAAGGTCAGATGAACCCTGCTAGACAGACATGTACACCTTACAATCATTCAATGGATCAAATATTGTTGACTTATTGCATATAGTATCTAAGAAACAAACTTAAACAGGAAAAATTAACATTGAACAATCAACCATGAAAATGAGGTCAAGGTCATATGATACCTGCCAGACTGACATGTTCATCTTGAAATATTTCTCTACACCAAATATAGTTTGACCTATTGCATATAGTATTAGAAAAACATACCAAAACACAAAATCTTAACTTTAACCACTGAACCATGAAAATGAGGTCAAGGTCAGATGACATCTGCCAGTTTGACATGTACACCTTACAATCATTCCATTTACCTAATATAGTAGACCTGTTGCTTATAAAATCTGATATATGGACTTGACCACGAAAACTGAACCTTGTTCACTGATCCATGAAATGAGGTCGAGGTCAAGTGAAAACTGTCTGACAGGCATGAGGAACTTGCAAGGTACGCACATACCAAATATAGTTATCCTATTACTCATAATTAGAGAGAAATTAACATTACAAAAAATCTGAACTTTTTTTTCAAGTAGTCACTGAACCATGAAAATGAGGTCAAGGACAATGGACATATGACAGACGGAAACTTCATAACATAAGGCATCTATATACAAAGTATGAAGCATCAAGGTCTTCTACCTTCTGAAATATTAATCTTTTAAGTAGTTAGTTAACGCCGCCGCTGCCACCGCCGCCGGATCACTATCCCTAAGTCGAGCTTTCTGCGACAAAAGTCGCAGGCTCGACAAAAATTCAAGCGTGATTCTAAAAATTTACCGACTTTGGGTAATGACCAATTTAAGGTGACGTAAGGATACATATTTCTTGATTGCATTTTAAATACGATTCATGCTTGCTGTTTATTGCATTAATATATATGTTTATTGCATTGATATATATTTTTGTTGTCACAAAGTTTACCATGTAATTTGTTTATATGGATGTAAAGATTATTGTATTATTTTTAAACAAATGATCGATCAATGATATTGCATGTTATGGTCCAACTTCCTTCATCAAATTTTGAATGGTAACAGTTTTATCCTTAGATATTGGCTTTAATAGTTACTGACAACTGAGGTAATATAGGATATTTAAAATGATTTCAAGTATTCTATAACACATTAATAGATTATATCAACAATATTGCGTGCAAGTAAAATTGTGTTGCTCGTAGTTTTTATAGTACACGTTTTTTTTCCCCAAAAGATTAGAATCAAAGGTTGATAACTTGAAGGATGTCCTCATGCACAAAAAATGCTCGCAGTATTGAATGCTATTGAAGTCTATAAAAAAAGTTCAAGGTAAATTATTGTCTTGTCATATTTATCTTGAAATATGAGAACGTTTTAATGAATTATAATCTATATTAAAAAAAAAGTATTTATGGCGATTAGACATTCACCGTATTGATAGGCCTGGTATTATTAACAAGAAAAGGGTGCTTAAGGACTTGAATCACCGTAACCACATGTTTAATACCCTGCTGGTAAAATAAGTAACCATTGAGGTATCGTGAGCCTAGTAGTTCACAGTCACAGTGCCTGTATAACAATTACAGACACAAAACAATGAAAGTTAAATCAAATGGAATTTAATTTACATTGTAGGTCTGTAAAAGACATTTACTCTAATTTTACTAAAGCCGACACACAACTAGCTAAAAAAAAGCATTTAAAAAGGTTTTTTTTTTCAAATACCTAAATTATAAGTTATTTGGTTTGCTACTTACCCCCTACGGATCCATAGAGGGTAAGATAAAGATTTTACCAACCCTGTATGGATCCGTAGAGGTCAGTAGTGAACCGTATAATAAATTTATTGCACAAGGGACTTTTCCTGCCAAGCTTTGTATAAAAATAAACAATGAAATACAAAAACATCAATAGATGATGTCACTATTGATAGAAGATGTGACTATGAACCCCCTATGAGGGGTTAGCTCGTTACGGCGTTAAGCCAATCATAACGTCACAATATTTTACCAGAGGTGCGATGATGGTTTAGATGGTGTCAGATGATAAACCTTTAATTCTGGTATTGGTTGATTACATATTCACACATTTCACTACCAATTGTTTACTTTTACTTGCGTTTGAATAGATAGTATTTGATTTGTGGTTGATTAGACAATTCAGCCAATCAAAATCAATGCATGTATATCATATTTGTTTTATGTTTATTATTTTGTACATAAATCAGGCCGTTCGTTTTCTTGTTG